TTTGCATATCGCCCTGATTAGCCAATGGGGTGTCGGAGGTACGGTTAAATACCATGTTTGTCTATTATTAGATAGGATTGGCTGTTTGTATGTCTTCTTGGGAGAGGTGTATTTTCAGGTCCTCTGCCCACTTTTTGTTTGGGTAGTTTGGTGTTGAGTTTTACAAGTTATCCATATATTTTGGAAATTAAACGTTTGTGGGAGCCACTGTTTGTAAATATCACCTCCCATCTGATTGGCTGCCTCTTTGTTTTGCCATCAGTTTCTTCTGTGCAGAAGCTTTTTAGTTTTAGTTCTATTCATTTATTTTTGCCTTTACTTCCCTGGCCTTTGGGTTCAAGTTCATAAAATATTCTCTACAATCAAGGTCCATACATTTGGTGCCTATATTTTCTTCTATGTAACTGATTGTTTCGGGTTTTATATTTAGGTCTTTGATCCATTTTGAGTTGATTTTTTAATGTTTTTACTTATTTCAGAGAGAAGGGGAGGAGGGAGAGAGAGAGAGAAGAGGGGGAGAGAGAGAGAGAAACCTCAATGATGAGATAATCATTGATCGGCTGCCTCACACTCCCCCTGCCCCCAAGGAATGAGCCTGCAGCTCTGGCATGTGCCCTGACTGGGAGTCAAACCAGGCATGACCTCCTGGTTCATGGATCAACCTGAGCCAGACCAGCCAGCTTGAGTTCATGTTTGTACCTGGGGACGAACTACAGTCCAGCTTCATTCGTTTGCCTGTGGTTTTCCAGGTCCCCAGCACCACTGATTGAAGAGACTGTCTCTACTCCATTGTTTCTGGCTGCTTTGTTGAAAATTACCTGCCCAGATACCTATGGTTTTACATCTGGGCTGGCTGTTCTGGTCCATTGGTCTGTGTGTCTGTTTCTCTGCCAATGCCTTGCTGTTTTGATGATCGTAGCTCTGAAGTGTAATTTTAATTCAGGCAGCGTGATACCTCCAGCTCTGTTCTTTTCTCTTAGGATGGCTTTGGCTGTTCCAGGTCTTTTGTGGTTCCATACAATCTAATGGTTTCTCGTTCTATCTCTTTAAAAGATGACATGGGCACTTTGATGGGAAATGCATTAGGTCTGTAAATTGCTGTGCGTAATGTGGCCATTTTAACTGGCTGATTCTTGCAACCCTTAAACATGGAATATTTTCCCATGGTGTTGGTCTTTTTCAATCTCTTAGTAATGCTTTGTAATTTCCGGTTTATAAGTCTTTCACGTTCATTATTAAGTTTATTCCTAGGTATTCTTTTGGCTGCAATTGCAAAAGGAATTGCGTTTTGTTTGTTTTTTCATTTCTTTTTCTGAGGTTTTGTTGTTAGTGTACAGGAAGGCAGTGGGTTTTGCACATTGATTTTGTATCCTGCAGCTTGACTGTGTGTGTTTATTGTTTGTAGTTTTTTGTGGAGCCTTTAGGGTTTTCTCTGTGCAGCATCATGTTGTCCGCAAAAAGGCGGTGGGCGGAGCTCGGGGACGCGGGAGGAGGCCTGGCGATGCCTGGACGCTGGCGGTAGTGGAGGAGTGCGGCTCCCCTGCCGTGAGGGGACTGGGGGGCACGGCTGATGAGAAGCAAGAGGGCGCCTCTCCGTGCAGGCATGGCCCCTCCTGACCTCATCAGTTCTCTCGCCAGGTTCACCCCTTCATGTGGGGGGTGGGGGGTGAAGGTCACACAGAGGACTTTCCGCTCACCCAGAGACTCGCCCGGAGCTCGTGGCTCGGAGCCACAGGTGGCCAGGCCCCGTCTAGACCTCGCCAGGTGCCCGGGGCTGGGCCTGGGCTTGTCAAAAGCGCGTCCCCAGGGAGAAACAAGGGGTGGACGTTCAGTCTGCAGACCATGCTGTGCGAGAGGAATGTAACGATGACGAAAAACCCATTTTGGGTGGTTTTTGCCCCAAAGAGGGACAGGACAGATGGCCCATCCACGTGCAGGGGGCAGCGTCCCGCAGGCCAAGGTTCCCAGTCCCGGGGAGCCGCTGCGCTGGTGGCCAGGAGGCCAAGTGCGGCTTCTCTCACCAGGCACTCCTGTCCCCAGGAAGCGCCTCCCTGTGGCCAACCATCTCAGGCCCGACCCTCCCCCGGGTCCTGTACGCAGCACCTGCTTGGCCGGACCGGGGCGCCCGGAGCTGCGGGGCTGCTCCCCGAGGCTGGGATAGTGCAGTGGGAAGCGAGCAGGTCTTGGGCATCGGTAGCAGCACAGCCTCCCGCAGGCCTGGCTGCCTGGGCTTCCGGCCCCAGGGGCCTGGGACAGCGCTGGGGTCCAACGCCAGTAGGTCCAGGGGTCCCCACTAACTTCAGGGGAAAATCCCTACCTGGGGAAACAACCTTTCTCAGAGAGGTGACCTTGGTTAAAACACATAGTGCCAAGAAGGAGAGCAAACATATTAAGAACAGTATGCCATATATGCCAGGTCCCTTGAAACAGCAAGAATGGACCGGCTCCCGGCAGGACAGGAGGCACTCGGTGGTGCAGACAGGCCCCCGGCCGCTCTGGGCCTCCGTTCCCTCCTGGCTCTGAGAGGCTGAGCTC